AGGACATCAGACAGGCCCCTACGTTGGCAGTCTTTAGGAAGAGCTTTTCTGCCTTTCCAGAATAGGAAACCCCAGCAACATGTCCCAAAAGCACTTTACGAGAGACTTAAGATTGTCCGCACATTGCACTTACCCAAAAATCCTTATATTTCAACTGTCATACTCAGCACTTTTAATCTGTACCCATCTACACTGGGCCCGGCCTTAGTTTTATTGTGCTACGGTGAATTGTTTTTACTGATTATTGTTATTGTGTAATGTTTTGATTTGCTCTATGGTTTATGTGTATTGTTGTATTGTTGTTTTATTGAGGTCTTGGCCATTGTAAGCCGCATCAAGTCCTTCGGGAGATGCTAGCGGGGTACAAATAAAGTTAATAATAATAATAATAATAATAATCCCCTGCAATGTAGGAACACACAATCAAAGCACTCCAGTGGATGGTGATCCAAACTCTGCTGAAAAACCTCCAAAGAAGTTGACTCCATCACAGTCTGAGGCAAAATATTCCACTGCTAAAAAATTTGTACCACCCAAAGTTTTTTCTAAAGTTTAGATGGAATGTTTTTTTCTGCAATTTGGATCTGTGGCTTTATGTTCCAGAACCCTTCCACACAGCTGAATAAAATCCCATATTATCTGCTTTAAACTGGGATATATGGCAATGTATAACCCAGTTCAAAGCAGATATTGTGGGATTTTCAGCCTTGATATTCTGGGTTATATGACTGTGTGGAAGGGCCCCTAATCTCCAGAGCAGCAGAAAACAAGCTTGCCCTCTCCTCGACGTGACAGAGATTCAGGCAGTGTCCTCCTCTTGTTACAAAGTTATAAGAGGAAACCTTGTGGGAGAGTGGGAGGAAATATCCGAACTGGAGGGGGGGGGGGTGTCAGAGTACAAGCATAAAGAGGAAGTGGTAAGCAAGAACTCTGAAGAATTAAATGTAGTCCTACCGAATAACCAGATTAAATTTAATGCCATGTTCTCTGTGTATGTGTGTGCCTTTAAGTCACCTTCTGATTTCTGACAACACTGTAAATTTCGTATGGTATTCTTAGGCAGAGAATATTTGAATTATTTATCTTAAAACATCTTACCTTCTTTTGGTACCATACTATAGCATCTGTTACTTTCGACGCCATTTATTCTGTGGCATTTATGCAGTCGTCATTTTATGCTGTAAAAAAGGGGACAATTTTACACATATTATTACTTCTGGATCTTTCTTTTTTAATATTTTTATTATTTTATCATGGTTTAATACATTTGTTATAAATTGTTTGTTTTACAGCAGACGATACATATTATTCAATACAATCTACCATTATTTTTCTGCTTATACATATTATCTATCCCTCACCGTTGTGCTCCCCTCTCCCAAGCCACAGCTTTTGCATATCATCTGTCCAAAATTTCAATTTTTCTTCTGGAGGTAACTTTCCTTCTTTCTTTTTTAATCCTTTTTCAATAAATTTTCTCCATACATCATCAAAATCACTTTGTTTCCATATACCTCTTTTAACTTTTAATATACATGTCAGCTTATCATTTATTGCCAATTTCCATACTTCCTTGTACCACTCCTCTATTTGTATATTTATTTCTTTTTTCCAGTTCCTTGCTAAAAGTAGTCTTGCTATTGTTAATAAATTTGTTATCGCTTCTTTATCCTCTTTTTTCAATTGTTTATTATTATATAATGATAATAAAGCTATACTATGACTTCTTTCTATTTTAATATTCATTATATCTTCTATTTCTCTAAATACTTTCCCCCAAAAATATTTACATATTTACATTACCACCACATATGTATATATGTTCCTGATTCTTGACATCTTCTCCAGCAATTTTTTGAATAGTTTTTATTTATATTTATACTTCTGGATCTTTCTTATATTGACTTTCATAAATAATATCTTTAAAAATTTCTTATAGAATTGGCTAACATTCTTCCCAGGAGAATACCTGGGAAATACAGTTACAAATAAGTCCCTTAAGATTTGATACCGGATGCACAACATTATTTGGACCCTAAATGAAGTGAATATTTTTTTTATCTTGATTAAGTAGTGTAATAGGTCTATAAACATATTAAGATTGAGGATCTCCTCTCTGTTTTAATATTGGTATTTGTTAGATTGTTAAATTGGATCATTTAACATTTCTCTGATTATAATTTGTAGGAAGGACTCTCGCAAATGCATCTACAATTTATTTTTCCCCCCAATTCTGGCTTCCAACAGTAAAGTCCTTAAGAAAACTGAATGCAATTCCAGGTGTGTAAAAAAGGGAACAAAGTACTGTTGTCTCTCCCCCACCCCTAAATCTCAGTATCTCTCTCTCTCTCTCTCTCTTTTCCTCTCTCTGTTTCTCACTTGCTGCCATTGCGTGATGTGATAAATTGTACAGGTGATAAGGAAACATGATGTATATATTCAGTTTTATAATATTTTTACTGTATTGTTTTAAGTGTTCTATTTAACATACTATATAGATCAAGGGTCCTCAAACTTTTTAAACAGAGGGCCAGATCACAGTCTCTCAAACTGTTGGAGGGCCGGATTATAATTTGAAAAAAACATGAATGAATTCCTATGCACACTGCACATATCTTATTTGTAGTGCAAAAACACTTAAAAACAATACAATAATTAAAATGAAGAACAATTTTAACAAATATAAACTTATTAGTATTTCAATGGGAAGTGTGGGCCTGCTTTTGGCTGATGAGATAGGATTGTTGTTGTTGTTGTTGTGTGCTTTCAAGTCGTTTCAGACTTAGGTTGACCCTGAGCGAGGGCCGGGTAAATGACCTTGGAGGGCCGCATCCGGCCCCCGGGCCATAGTTTGAGGACCCCTGATATAGATAGAGTGGAATCAAGTCTTATCAAGTATTTTTGCTTGATTTGATATTGTCACTGCATGTTGGAGACAATACACCATACTTCCTTTATTGGGCTAGATGCTCTGTAAGGCACAGACTAACAGAATCAGTAGTGTTTTGAAAAGCTTTTCAAGAGCTCTTGACATAAGAACAACAACTACATTCTAGCCTCTTCCTGCTACCTATATCACAGACCTATCAACATTTACATGTCTTTTACATATACACAATAACTGATAAATATTCAGAATATCAAATTATGGGTTATACTGCACTACAACAATGAATTAGAACATTTGTCTGGAAGAAAGCTAGGGCTGAAAAACACCACATTTAAAGAATTTCATTGCAACTACTTTAAATAAATGTTGCATGGGCATTCTTTTCAATATAATGGCATGAATAAATTTTAGTTTCCCACTTAAAATAGAAGGAGTGACAAAGCCCACCAGTATAAGATATGAAATTACTCCCTAAAACACATCTCCAGCTCATCCCCTGTTTGGGTATCAGCCAGCATGTCAACGATTTAAATCAAGAAATAGTTTTCTTAGATCTACAGAGACACTCGCTGGAACACCTCAGCAAGCGAGAGTCCAAAAGTGGCAGGCTCAAACCCAGCACCTCAATTTGTAGGTGATACCAGATGAGAGACTCCCCCCTGGGCACACAGAAGACTGGGCGAGTTGGAAGGCGCGGAACAGACTGCGCTCTGGCACCACGAGATGCAGGGCCAATCTTAAGAAATGGGGCTACAAATTTGAATCCACGACATGCGAGTGCAGAGAAGAGCAAACCACTGACCACCTACTGCAATGCAACCTGAGCCCTGCCACATGCACAATGGAGGACCTTCTTCTGGCAACACCAGAGGGACTCCAAGTGGCCAGATACTGGTCAAAGGACATTTAATCAACTACCAAGTTTGCAAAATCTGTGGGGTTTTTTATCTGTTTGTTTGTTTTGTTCTGTTAGAAATGTAATACAATGGTATGGTTGCTGATGACATGACATGATAAATAAATAAATACTCCCTATACAGTAGGCGATTAACAAGTACAAGAGAAATCTAATTTTAAAGTTACCAAAGTGCTACATCCAAACAGTGGTATAGAAACAATTCCACAGGTTGTTTTAATTTGTTTTGCTTTTAAAAAGGTATACTACTATGAGCAGCACAGACTGGTGAACAGCCCTGCAAAGGCCAATTATCTCGAGACCATGTTTATCATCAAAATATTTGTATAATGCATCACTATTTACCACAATGCCTTCAATATTAAGCACTTAAAGACAACTCAAAGAAGTATTTTACTGTGGTGTTACCATACCATAAACAAACAACACCTATGAGGACAGCTAACTAGATTTCCACTGTGGATGCCAAGTTATGTAATCCATTTCTTATTTGGCAAGCCACTTCTTCATCAACGCAGAAAAGCTCCTAGTTTTTGACTACTACTGAAAGTCTATTATATGCTTATCAACATATGGCAGTGAGGAAGAGTTCTTCGCAGGTACTACTCAGCTATCAAAAGTAGCATATAAAGTGCATGTAAACAAGTAATGTCCCATCTAGTGTGGCCCTCACTCACGTCTCAGAAAAGTTCAGTCAGCAACATCAGGAAAGACAGAGCAAGAAAGGTGGGTGGTATTGGAAGAGAGAAAATACCATTTTGCTACATGAAACTTGTCTGTTTCATTTGCTGAGCTTTAAGCTATCAGCAGATTGCTTTATTTCTGACCTTTCCTTTTTAACATCTTAATTGTTGCATAAAAACAGACAATTTGCCCAGACTGTTAAGCCCTTTCAACACATTGATTTATCTCTTGATTTGGGAATGAATATTTCCAAGCATGAATGGAGTAATATGAAGCAGTCAAGAAGAAAATTAGTCAAAAGCCTTGTGATTAATGCTGAAGGACAGACATGCTTGGCACAATCCAGAAATAATATCTAAAGATTATTTGTATTCTGCAAGCTTTGAAATATTATTTCCAACTTTAGGTGCTAGGTAAATTTAGAAACTAGCAGCCCTTAATATTGATCTTCTCTTTTTGATTAAGAAACTGCATAACCAAAATCTATGCCAGGTAAAAGACCACAGGGGTTTCCTGTCGAACCCGATCCTGGTCCAAAAGGGAGTCAAACAAGGGTGTGTATTAACCCCACTCCTCTTCAACATCTTCTTGCATGATCTCCCTATAGCCCTGCCCAAGTAGACGGGCATAGTCCCAAGATTGACCCAAAGCCTTGATTTGGAAGAGTGGGAACATCTTTGGGAAAAGGGGTTTAGATTTTCAGTGGCCAGCTCAATCAGAGAAAATATGTTTAAAATGTTTTTCAGAACCTACATAACTCCAGAGTTACTAGCTAAAATAGAGAAAACAGGAGGGGTTTGCTGGAGATGCAAGAAGGTGAAGGGATCTCTTTTCCACGTATGGTGGACTTGCAACATAGTTAAAGAATTCTGGAAAAAAGTGGTGAAAGAAACAAACAAAATGATTAGCAAAAAAATCATTTTGACACAAGACTTCCCTTTTTTATTAAGAAACTGCATAACCAAAATCTATGCCAGGTAAAAGACCACAGGGGATTCCTGTCGAACCCGATCCTGGTCCAAAAGGGATTGGCCCAAAYCATGTTCCCCTCTTGCTATTTGRGGATGATGCCACCCTACTATCCCTCTCCCATGTAGGTTTAGAAAGACTCTCGCACAAATTTGTTGATTTCTGTGAGATGAATGAACTGCAGGTGAATTATGATAAAACCAAGATCCTGGTTTTTGGGAAAAGCAATATTGAYCAAGTAAAACATATATCGAGCAAGTAAAACATTTCAAATACCTAGGACTTTGGTTCAGTAACAACCTGTCATGGTCCACTCACTTAAAATATACACTGGCCCGGGCTCAATCAATCGGCAGTGCTACCAGGAGGTTTTTCCACTCCAGGGGCAACCAATATATCCCCCCAGCTCTGCAAGCCTTCCAAGCAAAGGCGATGTCACAACTACTCTATGGAGCACCCATTTGGCTAACCCCTGGTATCAGTGCCATCAGATCTTTCCACTCAAAATTCCTCCACAAATTATTTGGTGTCCCAAACTGTGTCCCGTATGCAGTTCAATGTCTAGAATCTGGACAATACTCTATAGAGGCCACTATCTGGCTAAACATCATTAAATTTTGGTTATCTATCCACTACAAAAGTCCCAGCAACTCTCTGACCCAACTCACCTTGAACGAACTCCACCATTCCAAACGGTGCTCAACCGTTCTAGCAAAGAT